AATGTTGCTATACTTTATAGGCAGGTCGTTGAGCCAACTGTAACATATGCCGCTGCAATGTGGGGAAGAGCTACAAAGTATTACAATGTTCGTCGCATGCTAAGGGCATTTCAAAGAAGCTTTGCAATCCGAGCAATCAGGGCATTCCGCACCATCTCGATTACTTCAGCACTAGCCCTGGCAAACTTTGTTCCATTACATCTCAAAGTAGAAGAAGCTATGAGAATAGATAAAATCTAAACGTCCGGAACCTTCAAAACACCTTCAGAGGACATTTCCATCTAGCAGAGAATCTGCCCGAAACTACAGCTTCATCCTGCTTCTCGCCAAACAATCAAGTATGGCACTGTGAGAACTCAGGATGAAACCAATAACGTCCTCGATCATAATGCCCTACAAATATATACAGATGGCAGCAAACAGGAAACTGGGGAGTGCGATGCCGCATTTGTCATACGTCAACGCGATGGACGATGGGAGGGACGAAAGTTCAAGCTACATCATTTATGTACAGTGTTTCAAGCGGAAGTTTTCGCAGTAGACTGCGCCTTAGCATGGGCCCAAACAAATCCTGACGAATCAAGGCTACAATTATTTTGCGACAGCCTTGAAGCAATAAAGGACCGTAGCAATACCATGCCCCTCATAGTATCTATCCACGAACGTCTTTTTCAACTTAGACTAACACACTCCATACGTTTTTACTGGATTAAAGCCCACGTTGGAATAGAAGGCAATGAATTGGCTGACAGCTACGCCAAAAAAGCGGCAGCTTTTTTAGATGATATGGCATTCACTCAATGCGCTATTTGTTCCGTTAAAAGTCAAATACGTTCAGAGACGGCAGCATACTGGCAACAAGAATATCTAAATGCGCCAAATGGATCAACAACTAAGACTTTCTTCCAATCTCCGGAGGATGCTAAAGTTTATACGCAACGTTTCGGTGTTTCTTTTGAAATGACGCAATTTCTTACTGGTCATGGATATCACAAAACGTACTTAAAGCGCTTCAACATAGTGGACAACGATGCCTGTCCATGCGACAGCAACACGTCATCCACAGCCGTGTGCGGACGTGTTTTCATTTGAGCTCTGTGTCTTTCGTTTCACGATTTTTATTCTACTTGTGTATAACAAATTTTAATTTAAACAAATATGTAATCGCAAACAATCATAGACAATCTTAATTTTCAAATATATAATCACAAACAATTATATACAATTTCAATT